AGTTGTGTCTCATCTTCATCTATTTTTATTTTGATGAATGGAGGAATGTTGGAAAAATTTAAGCCTTCCAAAGGTTTGAGAGAAAGGGATCCTTTATCCTCTTACTTTTTTATTTTTGCATGAAATTTTTAAGTTTAAAAATTCTTAAAGTTGTGGAAGACCGTAAATGGTAGCCTACTAAAAATTCACGAAATGGCCCTGCGTATCTCATGCCATATTCGCAGATGACATTATTCTTTTGGGTAGAGTAAAAACACATGAAATACTCACAGAATTTTGTGGTGAATTTGGACAGATCATAAATCTATAAAAATCCAAAATTTTTTTTTCTACCAACACTGGACAAGATTGTAAAAGAGATATTACTAAACTTTTAGGCATTACTGAAACCCTTGATCTCGAAATATACTTGGGTTTTCCTATCCGTAAAGGGAGAGTTAGTAAGAATGATTATGCTTTCATTGTCAACAAGGTCAGAACAATGTTAGTTGGTTGGAAGGCAAATTTGCTTTCTCCTACAGAAAGAATGGTGTTGATCAAGTTGACTATGAAAAGCATGCCCAATTATTATATGCAGTGTATAACCCTCCAGTAAGTATTTCGAATGAGTTAGACAAGGCCAATAAGGATTTTCTATGGGAAAAAAATGGGGATACTTATGGAATTTTATGGTGAGTCTAGGCAAATCATAAATCTGAAAAAATTTAGAGTTTTCTTTTCTGTCAACATTGGACAAGATTACGAAAGGGATATTACTAACCTTTTAGGCATTAATGAAACCCTTAATATTGGAAAATACCTAGGTTTTCCAATGCATAAAGAGAGAGTTAGTGAGAATGATTATGCTTTCATTGTCAACAAGGTTAAAACAAAGTTAGTTGGTTGGAAGGCAAATCTATTTTCTCTTGCAGAAAGAATGTTGTTGATCAAGTTGACTATGGAAAGCATCCCCAGTTATTATATGCAATGTAAAACCCTTCTAGTAAGCATTTCAAATAAGTTGGACAAGGTCAATAAAGATTTTTTATGGTGAAAAAAATGGGGATACTCATGGAATTTTGTGGTAAGTCTAGGCAGACCATAAATTTGGAAAAATTTAGAGTTTTATTTTCTACCAACATTGGACAAGATTACAAAAGGGATATTACTAACCTTTTGGGCAATATCAAAACCTTTGATCTCGAAAGATACTTGCGTTTTCCAATACATAAAAAGAGAGTTAGTAAGAATGATTATGCTTTCATTATCAACAAGGTTAGAACAAAGTTAGTTGGTTGGAAGGCAAATCTACTTTCTCTTACAAGAAGAATGATGTTGATCAAGTTAACTATAGAAAGCATCCCCAGTTATTATATGCAGTGTAAAGCTCTTCTAGTAAGCATTTTGAATGAGTTGGACAGTGTCAACAGGGATTTTCTATAAGGAAAAAATAAGGATAAGTAAAGATTGCACTTACTCAACTGGAGCAAAATGACTAAGAAAAAAAGTGAAAGTGGATTGGGTTTGAGGGAGACTCGAGCTCAAAACCAAGCATAGTTAGCTAAGTTGGTGTGGATATTTCTTCATTAAAAGGATGTTTTGTGGGTTAAAACACCGAAAGGGAAGTATATCCAAGAAAATAGCACTATGAGGAAAGTTTTTAGAGTGCCAACGACGTAGAAAGCCATGAGATAGGCAGGTTCAATTGTTGAAAAAGGTATTGGCTGGGTCATTGGTGATGGCTCATCTACGAGCTTTTGGCATGATAATTGGTTGGGGTCTGGTAGTTGGAGAGATGCCATTCATGGCCCTTTTAACTGGCAAAAGGATCAAGTTTTAGTGAGTCAGTATCTGAATGCAATAAAAAATAATCAACCTTTTCCAATTTCTTTTCAACTCAATAATGATGTTTTAGATACGATAAATGCTATTCATACTCAACCAATGGGACAGGGACAAGATTCTATATATTGGTCTACATCCGCTAGTAGGATATTCACTATCCAATTTGCATATGACCTTGTTAGAGGAAGCAATCAAAATGAGGATAAGGGTCAATAGAAGTGGGTATGAAAGTTGCACGCTCTACCAAAAATTAGGTTTTTCATCTAGCAATGCATGCAATGTGTCCTGCCTACATATAATGAGGTTACTAGATGAGGGTTGAACATCCTAATTACTTATGTGTTTTGCATGCATGACATGGAGGATTTTGCACACTTTTTTTACAATTGCTAGTGGACCAAGAACATATGGGCTGCCTTGCAATGAGCCTCTTTGCCTCTATCCCATCAAATCCTGGACTGCAAACAATGGATAAAAAAAAATGCTTTAAGCAAGCATTGATCTATGCATGGTATCACTTGGTACCTATTGTTTATCCATATTCTATGGGAGGTCTAGCTTGAAAGGAATAGGAGGAATTTTATATAAAATGGTGAGACTTTAGACTTGTTGAAATTGACGACTACAAAGGCTATTGAATTCTTTGCGATGAACCAAAGAGGAGTTCAGACTCCATTGCAGTCCTTTGTGTCCATCAAGTGGAACCCTACCAATGAGGAATGGTATAAATTGAACACAAATGGCTTGGCCTTGAGCAACCCTGGGAAAGTAGGAGCTAGAATCATTATTCGAGATAGTAAGGAAAAATGGATTGCTAGTTCCTCTAGATATATTGGGGTGGGTTCGAATATTTTGGTTGAGTTGTGAGCTTTTGGAGATGGATTATTTTTGGCGAAAAGTCTTAACATCTACAAGTTAGAAATTGAACTCGATGCCACCACTATTATCTTCATGATTAATAACCACCAGGTGACCAATCTCATGTTACTTCATCTAGTCTTTGATTGTAGGAAGTTGATGAAGGATCTTAAAGATCAACACATGTTGCACGGTTTAGGGAAGGGAATAGGTGTGTTGACGCCCTTGCCCTATTTGATAGTAGCGATTATTGTAATAGTTCTAGTCATTATAAGGTCAGATGTTTGTTGAACCTTTTTCTTTTGTTAAGGATTTGGTCCTCGCTGATGAAGCTAGACATGTTATATATCATACTATTTTATAATTAAATCATTCTTATTTCTTAAAAAGAAAATATTCAAATTAAATATGAAATCACATTAAATCTTTATCTTGAATGATTTGTTGTTAGATTTCATTTATGTTTATTATATAATTAGTTGATTGGGTTGGACACAGATCTAACAATAATATATATATATATATATAAAGAGAATTAAACGTAAGCTGATCAGTATATACCCTTATATGTATCATTATTAGGTCTTTGGATGTAAATAAGTTAGTTCCTCCTTTAATTCTTACTATTGAAATAAGGCTTCATTGGCTGATGACCTTTTTGTTATAATAATTACTATATTTAAAATATGAGATGATTAATAAATCCTACGTTCACACCAAACGATAGACTAGTACAGTCTTACCGTATCTTTTTACCGAAAAACAAATTGCTGACGTGTTGGTGAGAAATAATGCATTGATTGTGGTGCAAATCTAGAAAAGTGCAAGAAAATCAGACTTTGGAGATGGAGAGGATAATGCCATTCACAAAATGCTAATACCAAACAAAATGGTATATAAAGTATTAATATACTTGCGGCGATGAAGCGAATGTTAGATAATTTACTTCTCCAGGCGGTAAGACGAGATTCATTTCACTTTAATTGAATGCAAGTTATTGAAAAATATACATTGGATAATTAAACGATAATGTTTATTATTTTGCCTATTTGATTTTTATTTATAAAAAATATTAAAATTTGTATTTGAATCACATAATAAAGCTTAATTTTAAAATCTTAAAAATAAATGCACTCAATATTAAAAATATATTTAAATTTAATTTTTTATAAAATATTATTATATGATTGGTAAATAATGTATAATATGCATATAGTAATTGTACATTAAATATAAATTCAAAATATAGAATAATTTATTAAAGCAGGTGGCCACCGATGCATGTCAGCATTCCATAGAGCCAGACAGAGCAGTGTACCTATCTGTATCTGTCTTCATGTTGCTCCGAACACTATCACAAAGGGAAAACAAACGCGTTTTCCCATCTTATTTCCCCTTATTTTCTTGTCTTAAATAATTATTTTTAAAACTATGATTTATCTGATTTGTGATTGAAAATAACAGTCAATTAAGCACGTGATCATGCATGTGTTTTGTTTTTTTACTTTAGGAAATTGCTTTAATAGACAAAACATTTATATTCATTATTAAAAGCTGGATAATCTTCTATAAAAGTGTGTAAAGATCTAGCGAGAAATTTGGTGTTTTATTACCCTTAACTGTGAATTGCTATGAAACTAACAATTAATCAGTACATTCAAATTATTCAAAAAGTAATATCTACTTTGCTCCCCCAATTGAAATCTCAAATATATTAATATCAACTTTAAAGGGATTTTGGTTCGCAAAGCTTTACATTATCTTTGATAGTAAGATTTCTTCAACAAAATTATCGAGGCACATTCTCAGTAATATGTCATGCATGTGTTTGGTTCACTTGCCCTGCAAACATGATTATTATGTTTGATTGACCAGGAATGTAAGATAAGTAAATGATCACATTACTAAATTACTTTCTAACATGAATAAGTTGTAAATTAAATCCATATACATGTAATTCTATATTTAATTACACATATTTAAATGTGAAAAATAAAAAATGCAGATGGTTATCAAAGTATTTATTTCATCACATTTTATCAAATAATATATATTTTTTAAAGAATCAAATAATACATTTTTGTAGCATAATAGGATAATCAAGCATAATTTTAATATTAACCATACAAATGTGCTAAGATAAAACCAATTATAAGTGTCCATAACAATAACAATTCAGTTACATTGAACAAAAAGTTTTATCCTACATAAAAAGGTGCTTAAATTTAGATAAACAAACCACTTTTCAAAATACAAATTTGATTTAATATATATTGTGAATTATGAATTTTAAGAGTTTATTTGTAAAATTAATGAGCTAACACTATCAAAATTTTGGCAAGTCTAATAATTTTCAATATGTGAATGACAAATTACGATGACCAATTAATTTATAAATATTTAACCATTTTTAATTATTTATAAAGTGAGCTGAAGTAATACCTTAGTGAGTACAATTTGTTAACTAATAGTTAAAAAGTCGGAAATTTGAAAATGCTATTATCAATTTATTTTTTTGTTGGAATTATATAATAACTACTATTAAGTTTGTTAATAGACTTTTAAATTTAATTATAGCCAAAATCCAAAAACAAATTTTAATGGTATAATTTTCGTACAATAAACCAATAGGATAATTTTGAGAATTGAAAAAAAATCTATCACTCATCATTAAAATTCCGGAACCCCATTTGTTTATTAACCAAAGATTGATCCTTGTTGAGAGCATTTCTAAATTAAATCTTGAATATATGAAAATAATGAAAGAAAATTATTTTGAAGGAAAACTTGGAAAACTAGGAGATAACGTTGATCCAATAGTACAAAAAAGACAATAAATATTATATTTCCGCCCTAACACATGAAGTAATATGCTTGTTAATATCTAAATTATTATATCGATTAAAAGGTATACATTAAAAAAACCATAAACCCAAAATTATCTAAACCTGCACTGCTTAAATCTAAAATGACCTAATCCAAGTCCGAAACTTTCAAAACCTAGAGCAGCCCAATCCAGCCCAGAATCTAATCTGATATGTCTAATTGCCACCTCTAAACTAAACATACAAGGTCATAGGTGCTTGGTTTAGAGTCTAACTAATGGCTCAAAACACAGGAACAATAAACACAAGAAAAACTTGAAGCAGACTTAAGCTAATGAAACTAAATGAGAAATTAACATAGAACAAAAAAGGGAGTTCTAATGCGGATAAGGTAGTTTCTGCTGTAGGGAAGAGGAAGCTACAAAATGTACAAAAAAAATATTAAGAATAAAATGGTTAATCTTTAACAAAAATTTTACATGAGGTTAACCCAAAAAATTAAAAAGCAGAAAATTCAGTAGGTCGATTGACACAATTGTTCCTATGGCTCAAATTTCTATCAGATCATCATAGTAAGCAAACACCATTCCCCGTTTCTCGCCCCAGCCTAATGACATAGCAGCAAGCTTCTAATTCTTCACACGAAGAGTTAGCCACTTCCAGATTTAAGTGTATTACTCAACCTACAATGATGATAAATAAATTCCTTTAGGAGTTAGAAAAACAAGAAAAGAGAGAATTGAAAATGCTTCATAGTTTTGTTTTTATCTGAATTGCTACTTATGCTAATTAGGTTAGTGGATTTCAAGGAATCATCAGCCGATAGTGACCAAAACAACGTTTCATAGAGGTGAACAAAAGCCAAATAAAAAAATGACAGCAAGTACTTGTTTAAGGCCCCTGACCTTCTTGATGGCATGGTATTGTTCATGAACTAGTCAATGTACATCAAGGACTCAGCATTCTACTACATTTTTAAAAAGATTAATTGTTCCAGGAGTGGATAGACTTACTTTGAAACTACTTTTTATTGTTGAAAAAGATGCATAGAACATGGACGTAAATAACCTTTTAAGTTCTTATTTATGAAATTCATGCAATGAATCTCGTCATAGCATAGGCTGCAAAGCGAGCTATATGTAAATGCTGAATTTTGTAGGTTCGAGGAGCAATTTTGCCAAGTAAATTCAAGGATAATATTAATTACATGTGATACAAAACTTACCAGTCCATGCCTTCAAAAAGACCTTCCCCTTTTGTTGCCGAAGTTTTAAAAATAGCCCATTGTCGGTTTTTTATCTTGTGTAACTCCAAAGCCTCTGTCACTGCAGCATCATCAAGTGCACCTGGAAGATCCTGTAAGCACCAAGAATGTGACATATATAATTGCAAGAAAAATAAATAAATTAAATTAGTCAAAGTGACATACAATCTTTGATCACTAAATGAAAAAGTTATTCCTCTTTAGTCTTTCCTCAAACAAATTTTTTGAGATTGTGTTTGGGAATTTGAATTTGACATAACGGAATTGGATTATAAATTTAGTACTATTAATTTGAGCAATAGAACTCATCGATATTCGTGATTAATTTATACATGATTTGTAAATTCATCCTCACAATATTTATAGCAAACAAACTCCAAATTCACTCTCAAATTTAGGTTCCAAAGTAAGCATAAAAAATGGCATATTATTTCCGTTCGTGATAAGGGCTTCTAATACCATGCCCATGATCAGCTCTCGCTCAATGTCACATATAAGAAAAGCAACTAAATTAGTTCTACACTAGCTCCAAGAACAAGAAGAAGAAGAAAAAGAATAGCACCAACCTGCTTATTTGCAAAAATTAGAACTACTGCTCCTCTTAGCTCATCCTCCTGCAAAAGATTCACAATTGAAACTAGTCCAGAAGAAGCACGATAAAATATATATAGAACAAGCATTGACAGGTAAAAAGAATATTGTAAACACCAAGCAAAAGTTGTTGGTTACAGATGTATAAACAAGTCATCTTAATTGATCGTGAAAGGGAAATAAAAAAGGTTTGCCTCATTTCTTTATCATGGGAGATAAGAAGGCGATAAAAGTCCTCACCAAAGGAAAATGCAATACAGCAAGACTATAACAACCTGAAATACCATTTAAAAATTGAATATAACTTTGTAGGGAAATAACATTCAAGGGAGAGAGGGACAGAAAGACAGAAAAGTTTTCACACATCATTCTTTCCTTTTGTCAAACTTCAAAATAGAACAGTTCCTCCAGTGGACCACGAGATAAACCTTACAGCCTGCAACTAATCTATACGTCATCTTCAAGCATGGAATATTTCTAAGTTAGACCATAGCAAGAGCATAGGATGTTTTACAGAGAAAAACAAGTAAAATAAAGTAAATATGAAGAAATACATCTTGATGAGTTTACCTCCAAGATTGCATGAAATTCTTCTTTAGCTATCACCAGCCTATCCGTGTCACTTGAATCAACAACATAGATTATAGCTTGAGTATTTGGAAAGTAGCATCTCCAATATGGCCTGTGGTGCAAAATGAAATAAGAAACTAGGGTGGTGATCCATTGCTGGGAGCACTATTTTGTTAAGTGAATAAAGGGAAACAATATATAAGTTGTACACTAAAAATTGAATAGAATGAGCAGTCTTTTTGTCTGCACGAATACACAATAGGATAGGATGTAAAATCTTATTTAATTTTACACCTTTTAGACGTTGAGATAACCTAGAATAATGCTAATCAGTTAAATCACAAATCCTAATTAAACAAGTGGTGTAAAGAGAGGAATCCAATGAACACAACATTCAAATGCCACAACAGACTCTGAATTGGTATGTTGTAAAGGTAAAAAAGACCAAACGAAAAGCCATTTATAAGAACATGGAAATGTTAATAAACAATAGCCACAAAATCTAGGTTCAGATTGCACAATAAAAGCAGTATTTGATATTCTTTCTCTCACACACTCAGAGTGACTAAGATAATTTACTCTAAAATTGGTGGCTTTTCAAAGATGTTCATTTTTAGCAATAATGCAAAAATAAATCCTATATTTATAACCAATCACACATGTACTATATCAGCTTCAAGTAGCACTATAAGTATAAAAGGAAGCAATCCTATGATACCTCTAAATTTTATTACTTAGTCCCAAATTGAATGTCCATTTTTTTCTTTCAAATGTCTCACAGCTTTATCCTCTTTCCATTTCAAAACCTAATAATCTTATTGTTTCCATACTTCACATTAATTTTTCAAAATTTTTTAAAACTTTTTGGCATTTAAAACCATTGAATATCAACATTATAAAAATTTTTAAAATTTTAATGTAAATATAAAAAAGTTAAAGCTTATTTTCTTAGGCTATGTTTGACTTGCCACAAATATTAGGGGTATTTTGGGTGGGCATGCGGTGCAGCTGGGTATGCTCCCCATTGGACTGCAGCCACAGTCAGCCCCCTTTATCCTAACATACCCTTAATCTTCGTGGCAAGTCAAACATGGTAATTTAGTTTGAGACAAAAGGACTAAAATGTTTACATGTTTGTCAAAACAGTACAATCAGAATAAATATTTTAAGGTAGAATTAAGTTAAGTAATCTGAGGAAAAGACCCTTGAAAGGCTACAAATTTGAAAAACTGTATAATGCATCAAAATGATTCATCTATAATGCATCAAACATTAACTATAAGAAGTCAGTATGAAATGAATACAAGACATATACCTTATCTTTACCATAATTAACAGAAATCATTGGGTATCATATAAGTTTGAAAGCAAAAAACTACTAGCTTAATTAAATCTCCTAAGCACCCAATGGCCAGCTGTGGACTCACAAAGACACAATTTACATAGGGCTTCTGGAAACCAAACATCTCAGTGAACAGTTGCCAACGAAATATAAATTAAATAACGGAAGAAATTATTAAAAAAAAAAGTTGCATGTTTGGAAAAGTTACCTGATACTTGTCTGTCCACCTGCATCAATAAATGATAAAGATGTCATCAGGACAAGAAGTTGACATCACTTAAATGATAAAAGAAAGCAAAATTGCAAAACAAGGTATTACATTTCAGTCTAATACTAAGAGATTAAAATTCCACAACTTGATACTTTTATTCCGATGAAGTTCAATGGCTTTGAATAATAGCAACACTTGCAATCAGAAAAGAAAGACCTAATCAGTTTAAGTTTGCAGAAACAAAGCATGGATTTGCAGCCAAAGGTTAAGTTCCCTTTGTTCCTTATTTCTCCTATAAGTAGAGACAGATGTCCCAAATAAGTAAAAATTTTATTTCATCCAGTTCTGAAAAAGTAAAGCTCTGATGATAAGGAGTGGTCAGTTCTGTAAATTTGTTAAAAGTTGTTACTTACTATAATGGTTTCTCAGATGATATACTTTGAACAGATATATAAAGATATCAACAAGAGGCAGAAGGATGACGTAAGTTGTGGATTGAAAGCCAGATCCAGCTAGTTTATGCAGTTGAGATTTACGGTAACAAAAGTCATAATTATCTTCAGTCAAGCCTTTGTATAAGAAAATATGAAGATTCAAATTCTCAGAATAAAAGTTTCATCATCCTGAAATATCTATAAGTTTGAAAACTAGAGTGTTTTCTAATTTGATTTTAATATACATATGTTGTGAATTTCTCCCATTTCTTCTACCTTTATTAAACAATCAAATAAATAGGAAAGTAAAATCAAAATTTCAGGACATTGCTATAACAAATCTACTATACATGTTAAAGATCTACATCAAGGAGTAGTGGTCGGCGTACCTAAATCCCAAACTTGAAATTTGATGTTATTGTACTGTACTGTTTCGACATTAAATCCAATTGCTGCACCATAAAGAACAAAAGCAAATCAAATAGCAATTCTTAAATATAAAAGAAACCTTTGATCTGCTTAATTTCAAATCTCAACTTGCTCCCCCACAAAATGCGCAATAATTCCCCTTCAAGCAAAAGCCAAAAAAAAAAAAAAAGAGAGAAATTTGAAAAAGTAAGACTAACTTGGAATTGTGGAGACAACTTCACCCATCTGGAGCCGATCTGCAACCAAAAACACAAAATTAAAAAAAAAAAAATAGCAAATGCCCATTTCGTAAATCCCGACATAGAAAAATGGGAATCACGTAAAACATTAAAAGGAAGAGAAATAATACAGAGAATGGTGGTTTTTCCGGCATTGTCAAGACCGAGAACAAGGATCCGAGCCTCCTTGTTTCCAAACAGAGAAGAGAACATTTTTGTGAACAGTATACCCATCTAGTTAAATATAGAAAAATCGCTCTCTCAGTGCATGAATTTTAGATCAGATCTGCAAAGCAGCACCCCTTCGATTTCCACCCTGTACAAAAGGGGAGGGCCTGCTAGCAAGAGGAGCTGAGATTCCGAGGGGAGAAATTAAGAATTCGAGAAAGAGAGAGAGGAGATAATTGCAAAGACCGGAACTTTCTTCTTTGGCGTTTTTGTAATTTACTCGTGGGAATCGACATAGAAGAGGGAAAAGTTGGGTAGAATTCTGTGCGGTGATGGAACCGCTGCAGCAAATACATGGTTGGGCCACGTCATTCTTTTCGGAAGTCGAAGAATTTGTAAGTTGCTGACGTGGTGACGTTTAGACCGGAGCCCTTGAATTTTGAGAGGGAAACATAACGGCTACCGTTTTAAGATTTTTTTCTTGTTTTTATCTTAAAAGGTTTAACTATTATATCCTAAATTTTGTGAAGACGTTTGTCCCTCTTTGCATTAGAAAAAATTTATTTGCTGTAACAAGGTCTTGGCTTAATCTTAAGGAAGAAGTTTTAAAATTTTTGGGTTTTGGATTTAAGTTTCCCTATTAGTAAATTTTATTTAATTTTATATTAAATTTATTTAACAATATTTTAATTTGTTAGACAGATTGATTGTTTTATTATTAAGTGATTTTGAATGTAAGTAATATTTTATTATTATTTTTATTTCTATTTTTAAATTCAAAAAATATATATTTGTATGACTTTTAAATGTTTCATTATTATTATTATTATTATTAAATATAATTAATTCAATAAAAATTATTTAAAATATTAAAAAATATTAAAATAAATGTAAAATTAAATATATTTATATATTTTTAAACCTATATATGCTCATAGGTCGAGTATTTGATTAGGAATTTTTATCAGGAGCAAAGGCAAGAATATAAAAAAAAGAAAGCCAAATGGTAATTTCAATGGAAGAGGATCAAACATTATTTTTGATGGGTCAAATATTGTTCTACAAGGGAGTAAAAAAGTTTTGGGCGTGGCCCCTTACTCTAATAATTTTTATGTACGGGTTTGATTTGACTTGAGACATTATTTAGTTTTTTAATTATTTTTTATTTAATCAGGTTTTGTTGAGTTGAGTTAGAATCGACTTTGGACAACGTTTTTAAAGTGTTTATTGAGTTTGATCCAATCAACTCATAGACACCTCTAGTGGATTTAAATTTTTTATTAAACATATTTTATATTTAAAAATTTACAAAAATTCCATACTTTTGCATAAACAAACTACCTAGGTGACTTTAAAAATAATTGGGTGTTTGCTATAGTGCCATCTATGATATCTGCGGTAATAAAGCGATATTTCAAAGCTTGGCCAAAACAAAAAATGCGATATGTCGAAGTTTTTTTAATTGTTGTATTAAAATGCTATAGTTTTTTTTCCTTTTGATTGATATTATTTAGTTTAATTGTTGTTAATGATGTATAGAACTGTCAAGCCTCATTCTTTTGAGATTTTAAATTTTAAGTTTTTAACAATACAAAATTAAACTTCATAATCAACTACTATGCCAAAGTTTTTCAAACTAATAACAAATAAAAAAAGCACAAGACTTAGAAAAAGAAAATTAAAATGCAGCGAAATGTTGATGTCATATATGTGTATGTAGTTTTCCATTTACATAGTCAATTTAATTTTAATGATTTTCAATATTCGAGATTTTTTTTAAAAATTTAAATTGAAAAGTTGATTGTAATAAAAAGTGAATAATTACAACAAACAATAATGAATGGTAGACGAATTTATTAGTTCTATCAACGTAAAAAGTGTTTATAAGAAAATTTTACAAGCGTTTAAAAAATTTTCTTTTAATTCTTATTTTTTAATTTTTAACCTTATCTTAACACATGCACATACCCCTAACTAAAAGATATTAAAGTTTTTTTTGTAAGTATAATTCAAAATCCTAAAAATTATATGAGAATATTAGAATATTAATCAATCAATTTGTGTATTTGTTTAAACAATCATATATGATAAACGGAAGCAATATTAGTCTTTTACATAGATTAGGTCTTACACTTCATTCTTTTTTATTGATAGTTTTTAATGGATAGATATCATTATTTAAAAGTGAATATGAGATCTTAGTTATATATTTTATTAAAACCCTAGAAGCCTTTCATCAAAGGCATATTGGATCAAAGGCTAGCAAAACTGCCAAACTATCTGACCTCATAAAATGTGCAAAACCCACACATAAGTGATCGTTATTAAATTATTCGAGCTTTAATACTTATCTTATATGAAGACTAAATTTATCAACGTGTTTTATTAAATTATAAAATCATCAATTAATATAGCCACTTATTGAAAAATTCTAATATTTTCGCATTTGGACAATATTAATTAGGTTGTTTATTTAAAAAAAAAAAACATAATTTAAAAAATAAGACTCAAGATTGATTAACTTTACTTTGATGTGGTCATAGTTTTAAAAAATAATTTAACTATTTAGACAACATTTTAATGATCTATCTAACCATCTAGTACTAAATCATGGCAGCAATTTTGCCCTTATTAACATAAGTTCGATCTATGGTTACAAGTATTAAAAACTCTATTGACAATATATCTTAGTAACAAGAAAATCATATCTAAATATAATCTTAATATGTTATTTTCATTGTTTGTTCTTTTGCTAATTTCTATAAACTTACTTAAAAATCCTCATGGCATCCAGATGTGTACTTAAGGTTACTTATTAGTATCACTTATGAGGTATACTCAAATAACATTAAAGTCACACTTAAGATAAATACGAGGTTTTAAGATTTTATAATATGATATGTCAATATAAGATGTGCATATGTAATTAGATATATACATAAAAAAATTATGATGAATGTATAAAATAATTATGTTCACTTAACTTGATGGTATCTCATAGACTTATTCATATCAAGTTCTACCTTATAGGTTATTAGCATTATTCATCTCAAGCTATTCATTGTAGGTAATTAGCAATCATATGCAATGTATTTAATATAGTAAAGAAATCCAAAACAATGATGATTTCATAATCAAAATTTACAATGCATTTATTGCCATAATCAACCCAATAACCTTAATAGGTTATATTGTTCATACCAAGAGATATCCATATTATGAATTGTCAATATGAGATGTGCACACGTAGTTAGATATATACATAAAAAAAAAAAAGAAACTATGATGACTATATGAAATAATTATGTCCACTTAACTTTAACTTTATGATGTGCACAGGTTTTATTATTCATATCTATAGATATCCATATTATGAATTGACAATACCATATTCCTCGCATAGAGAAAATATGTCATTATTTAATCAAATCACATTGACTCCCACTAATTCAATGAATCATAAACATGCTCCAATCAAATTTTGAATGATAAGTAAGGAGCACAACAATAAAGGGAGCATAACAAAATTATGTTTGTCTGCCTTCATGCCAATTTGATAACTACTACTTTTCTTGGACTTCCATAATGTCACTTTAATTAACCACTTACAAAATTCTTAATGTTTCAACATGAAAACATTTTTAATAAATTTTAAATTCATTGAATTTTCAATCTTTTTAGTTCTAATGTGTGCCTAAACCAATAGCCTATAAACTCCCATTGACCTCAACATATATAATTTCTCTAAAAAAATTATTTTAAGGAATTTATGAGTTACTTTAAATATATATATATATATGCAGAAAAACTCTTACTGATTTTACTTTCATTAAAAATAATAGTTTTGACATTAATAAATAATAATAAAAAATGGTAAAACCTTTATATTATCATTATTTGAAATAAGTTTCAAAATTTTTTTAAAAGAATATTATAAAATTCATATTCTCTCTAATAAGTAAATCAACAAAATTTTAGGAAGATTATGAAGGAAAGAATCGAACCATAATTTACTTATTTGTGCAAAATTCAATCCTTAAAACTTTCACACATGTGATAAGTTAAAACAATAAATTTCCCCTTACATGTGAGAGGTGTTATACAGCAAATATATGTCATTAGATGTGATAAATTAAAGTAACTAACAATTTATGTATTTATTATATTGCACAAAACATCTAATAACTTATATCTCATGGCAAACGTAAACTTATGTTGACAATTTTTCAAAAAAAATGAAATTGAGAACAAATGCCAATAAATGATCCAAATAGATAAAACTTTTATCAAGTTAATATATTTACTAGTCTTATCAAAATAATAAATGTCTATATCAAAACTTTAATTGTTGTGTGATCACATCTCAAAATAATGAGAAATACAAAGACTTTAAAAATTTATCCCTTTTAAACAAATAAATTTCCTAGTCTATATATTTTTGTCACTTCACAATAAGATTCATAATTATTTCTAAATTAAAAACACATAATCATCCCTTTTGAGTAGTTAATTACATGTGGTAACTTAAAGAAATATCATAACATAAGAAATTTCATAATCATTATGGTTATATTGTTTTTCTTATGTCTATTTATACATGTGATCATTCCAAGTGAGATACTAAATGACCTCTATGAATCACTAAAAGTTAAAATTTACAATGCTCATTATCATTTTATGCACCTTAAAAATTTTCAAGTCATATTATATAATCATGCTATTAATCAATATGAACACTTAAAATGTCATATTACTAAGTAAATTGTCATAACTATTAATAATACTTTTATTATGGCATTTCTATCTTTCAAGTATGACTATAAGAAATTTCAAAATAAAAAATTGATTTGCCACAAAAGAACATCTAACAATGCAGATATTTTATATTTACATGAGATTCAAGAAATTATATAATTTTCACACTATAAATTTCAAAATAATAGTATATGATGAATGTTAATAACACATAATTTTTCTAGACAATCATATACACACAATGATTATGGTATAAATTAATCTCATGTTCATCTTAATATTCATATGAGGAATCTAACATTTTCAATATCATAAAACATGAGCTGTGATATAAATATTAAGACAAATTAATTTAGTAAGTCTTAACAACATATTTCGGTCAAAACTTTCAATACATTGAAATTAGCAAAACTAATTTTGCTTATTTTTATAGACTAAAACTTAGTCATATCCATTTAACTTTCACAACTCATTTTTTATTACTTAGGATCTTGATGGTAATATTTATCATATTTCATAATACCAAAGACATATTTCAA